AAGGAAATAACCAGTACAGTAGTGGTTATACATATTTAACTCCCAATCAAATGTAAACTCCCTATGTAAATGCACAATCTTCATAGAGCATTTTCATTTGCTGCATGTTTTCTGTGGCTGGTACATCAAAAATCACTGGCATGTTAAAAATCAGTTAGTGTAAATTATGTAAAAGTCCTTCATGCAACAAAATAATGTTCAGAATTACGTTCATTGTCATTAGGGCAGCTTTTCCACCATGAAATCATCTTTTTGAATGACTTGACTCCACAGACAAAAGTAGTGGTTGCAATAATGAGGCTTCGTTCCTGTGCAAGAGCTGATTGGGAAGTCTGAAGACAAGGGCTCTGTAATGTTTTAAATGATTGAATTTTGAATTGCAGAAAAGGCTGTAGCTATTTTTGACTGCCACAAAACAAGCTGGTTGGTTTTTTTGAGGTGTGTTATCAAATTCTTTCCACAGTTTTTAAGTAAATGATATTAAACCTGTTGCATCCTGATTGAAAGGGAACTGTAACTTGTCATAATCACTGAAGGAAAAGAGGTTGTCCTTCAGGGATTTTTTTTTTTTTAACTACAAAAAAATGTAAATTTACTTTCAGGTTTTCCTTCCCTGCAATTTCACGCAAAATGTTGGCTTTTAGCATTCTTAAAGAACCATATTTCAAGCACCCAGGAAATGCCTTTTTTTTTTTTCCCTTATAAAAGATCTGCCACTGTTTTGGGGCCTTTTTTAAGGGCCTTGTTTTTGGGGCCTTGTTTTGTCATGGTAGGGGAAAAGGGAGCAATTCCTAAATAATTCAGTCCAATGTGTTCACATGAAAGCTTGAGGGAAATTAATGAGATGCACCCAAACACCTCCAGCATTGCTTCCACCTCCTGTGGCCCAGGACAAAATAAATGTGTGGGTCAAGAGCTGTGGGCACTTGGTAAGAATGATCACAGAATCCCAGAATATGCTGAGCTGGGAGGGACCCACAAGGATCATCCAGTCCAACCCTCAGCCCTGCACAGGACCATCCCCAGAGTCACCCCCTGTGCCCCAGAGGATCATCCAAACCCTCCTGCAGCTCTGGCAGCCTTGGGGCTGTGCCCACTGCCCTGGGGAGCCTGGGCAGTGCCCAACCACCCTCTGGGGAAAGAACCTTTCCCTGAGATCCAACCTGAGCCTGCCCTGACACAGCTCCAGCCATTCCCTGGCTGCTGTCCCTGGTCCCCCAGAGCAGAGCTCAGTCCCTGCCCCTCCTCTTCCTCTCACCCACCAAACAGGGAATGTCACTGCTCAGAACTTCCAGAGCAGGGCTCACCTCTGACTGCCTTTTGCCACCACCTGAGGAAGGATAAAACTACTCTGAGCTCACTGCAGAGCTGAGACCTTAAAGAATGGTCTGGGCACAGACTGGGACACGGGTGGTTTTCTCTAAGAAGCAACAGGGGGAAAGCTGGAGAGAGGACTGTAATTATGGCCCAGCTCTGGAGCAACCTGGTACCACCTTGAAGATGAGAAAGCTGACTCATGGTTCATTCATTCTCAGTATCTTGGGACACCTTGACTCAGACTAAGGCACTACTTAATGTGGTTTCAAACAAAGAGTGAAAATGTACATAGTTGGCAAAACAAAATGGTTTTGTGGACGGGTCAATAGCTCAGGTTAAACGGGGGCTTTTCACTGCTGAAAGTCATTTCAGACCCAGCTGTGATTGCAAACTGAAAAGGCCATTTTTGAAGCAGTGCCCTGTGCAGATGCTCTTGTTCTGCAACAGGTGTGCACATTTTGGTACTGATTAATCCCTTTCAAAAGTATACTGTACTTGCATGGAAAGAACGAGGGTGTCCAAAAAATGAGCTTGTTAAGAAACAGCTCTTGCACAAGGGCTTCTTTCCCAGCTCTTTGGCTGCAGTCCTGTGGCAGATGGGCACATGCAGCTTTACTGGGCTCTTCTGGAGGGCTGTTTGCTCTGTCTTTTCCTGTTCTGAGTGAAGCAGCAGCTCACACCCGACACACAAGAGAGTTAATTGCCAGAGTCATCCCCGGGAAGTTGCTAAGCAACATTTTTTGGGCCCTGGCATCAGCTCAGCCACTTCTGCTGCCACATGATGCTTCTGGTCCAGCAGATGCTGTGCAGTGCAGCAGGGAACTGCTCAGAAAGCTCAGCTCACTTCCTCAGCTCCCAGTGTCTAATTAAGCTCACCTAATGAAAATAACAGTTTTGCAATTCAGTTCCAGTTGCTTAAAAATTATTTTGAGTATAAAATTTATCTGTACAATAAAAGCAGTTTTTTTCAGTTAACATCCAGTCATTTCAGTTGTTTAAATTGGTCATTCCTACTTGAGATGAACTGATTGGCTTTAATGATTTTAAAGTGTTGTTGTAATAAGTGAACATAAGCACTGACATCACATGAGGCTGAAGCAGGGTGAGCACCTATCCAGTCACTGCAGCAGGAACTGAGCCTGAGGTTTTCCAATAAATTACCACAGATTTTTTTTCAGCCTGGCATCCTAATCAAAACCAAGGCTGTCAGGGAACTTTCAACCTTTTGGGTAAATCAACAAGTCCTGAAATCGTTACAAACTCAGGGCTGTGTGCTCTGTCAGCCCAGCCTGATTGCAGCTCAGGAACTCTGGGCTGCATCCTCTGCTCCTGATGGAGCGTGGGCACTGTTGATCTTCCCCTCTGCCTGGGAGGTTAAAGTCCAGAACACCCCTGAGACAGCAGCAAAACCTCCTAATCAGTGATACATCTATTGTTACATCTGTTCTCAGAACAAATCACTCCAGGACTGCCAGAGGTAATAAAAGCTGCATTTTTATGGGTTAGTGTCCTGCAGTGACTCTGAGGGCTGACTGAAGACAACGGCACTTGGTGGGTTTGCTTTCTCTGTGAATTCTTTGTGCCAAGCAAAGCAAAACTCAAAGTAAAAGTGCAGCTTCTCCCCCTTGCCCTGCTCTTTTTCACCTGACTGTTTTTACAAAACTTGTAGGGATTTAAGCATTGGTCAAGTTTGGCTGAGCTTGGACTGCTCAGAAGCTGCTGGTGGAAAGACAAAATAAGCAAGCACACAAAAACTATGAGTAAAGAAGAGTCTTTTCCTTAGGGAACCAGCCTAAAATCTTAGTAACCCCGTAGAATCCAGCCTCACATAGGTTCCCAGTCTACCAATCATACCTGGATTTCAGCCTGAGGAAAGTACCTTGAATGAACAGGTTTACATCCAAATCCTAACCCCCCTTGTTAAAATGGTTTGCTACTAATTTTTAAAAATTATTTTGCATAAACATTGATAATCCTCATTTTCAAAGTCCACAAGTTAGCAAGTTTAGCAATGTCATTGTTTCGACATATTTGACTTTTCAACCTCTTTGAATTTTTGGATTCTCAAAAGCTTCCATGGTCAGTGCAGGGAGAATTTATGTTGACTTAGTTTTTTCTAGGTTGTTAGGAATAGTTTATGTTGCTATAGCAGTTTGGAGACCACAGGTAGAAATGGTCACTCTAAACTTGCCCCTTTTTTTTTTCCATTTGATTTTACTGTGTTTCTATTCAGCTGCATCTTGAAACTATTATCTGAACAACATTCTATAATATTAAGGTAGAATTTTTTTGTGCCTTTTGATTTTCAAGCAAATCTGTACTGCCTTAGTCTGAAAATGATAATGTGTGGGAAGGGGAACCACATCTCTGGAAAACAGAATGAGAGTAAAAAGGGCAACAGTGAAAAACTTCCAGGGTCAGTCACATTTTAATGATGATTATATCAGAGTATAATACTGACCAGTATAATGTGACAAGCACACAAGGCTGCTGTGGAAGTAATTCTGGTTTTGTTTGAGTTAATGGGAGTTTTACCATTGACTTCAGTGGGATCAGGAGGTACATTTGATTTTATTTTTTTAGATATACTTACAACACTGGACACCACAGAAGACTGACAGAAAGGCAGCACACCCTGTTAGTTCTGCTGTCCTTCCTCTCTTTTTTCTCTGAGTGTTTTTCAAAGTTCAGCATAACACTTCCCAGTGAGCCTTTAATTTCTTATCTGTATTAGACAGACTTTGTGCATCTTTTCACTGCCCACATAGTAATTACAGATTTCTTTTCCTCTGAGCAGACAGTAAATACATTGTTCTTTTTCTGTGTGGATGTGGAGTCTGGAGCAGCCCTGGGGTCATCCAAGATCCATGAAGGGGCAGCACTAGCAGTGTCCTTGGCTGGCAGCTAAAAGCTCTTCTGCCTCAGCCTCTTTAGTGCAGAAGTGTTTTTTGGTGGGGGGACTGGGAATGCCACGAGGAGCCTTTTCCAGAAACGTGCTGGAAGGGGCCTCACAAGAGCATCTTGTTAAAATTCCACTTTTAGCAGTGGAAATTGCTTTGCCTCAAAGGCCAGTCCCTTTCCACGTGTCATTTAGTCGTGACTATGAGAGATGAGTTATCTCTGAGGCTATAAAAATATTTTGCCTTCTGACGTGCCATTAATTGCTGTTATTTAACAACAACGAAAAGACAAAGAAAGAAAGAAAAATCAGATGATATGGCACACAGAAATTCCCAGCAAAAGGAACCCAATTGAGTTTTACCCAAGAACATTAACATTCCTCACTCCCAGGTAAAGTCCCTCCATGTCTAATGTCACAAATGGGCCTGTGAAGAACACCATCAAAATAAAGTGTTTTCACCCATAAAATGACTATAGATGGGTGGTGTTTTCCCCATTAGTTGTTGCAGGGACATGCCCAAAAATGTTCTATTATTAAAGCTAATAAACAGGCTAATCCCTATCACCACAGTTCTGCTTCCACCAAATAAATGAATCTCATTTGTACTGATATTTATCCCGAGTGTTGTTCACTTTGTTTCTTTTGGCATCTGTCAAAGGCATTGCAAAAAAAAAAAACTTCAAGTAAAAATGTATCAAAACCCAACTTATCAAAAAGGATATTGGAGAACTCACTTTTTCCCTTTGGTATTTTCTTCCCCTTCTGTTCAGGTCTGAAATAAAATGAGGATTTGCCACCTGACTGCAGAACTGGGAGCAGATGGGAATCAGTGATCTGCTCCCCTCCTCCACTGGGAATGCCACAGAAAAACTGGCTCTGGAGCATGACTTGAACATACTGACAAGAAAAGGTATTTAGTATCTTAGCAAACTCTCATTTATTTCTTCTGTGCACTGTAGGAAAACATCCTGATGATAAAGAACTTGTGGGTTTTAAGTGTCCTTCAAGGCTGCTGGAATAATTAATATATGCTTTCCATAACTTGTGGCAATGGGGGAATGTTGAACTTACCTGTAAAATTTAAGTAAATAATGACAAAAAAGAGAGGATTGATAGAAGTTTAAATTGGTTACATCCCTTTAAAGTAGGGTCAGTTTTAGAATGCAATGATCATGGGTCAAAAAAGAAAATTTTCAAGTCAGCTTCTTAGTTGATTCCTGTAGTTTTGTACAAATAGGCAGCCTGAGGTCTGTTCCATAAAATTAACTTGGATTGATTTGAATCTCTCTTTGGAAAGTTGCTGTCATCTACCTCAGTGTGTGTTTACTTAGTCCAGTCCAGCCCAACCTGCTATTTAAAGTGTTGCAAAAGTGGCTTAACTGAAGTCTTATTTTAAGTCTGTTCAAATTGAATTGAATTGCAGTCTTGTGTAGATGCACTTAAATCAATGTATAGCTGCCACATAAAATTCCACCCTTTGAATTAAGCTAGATCAACACAAGCCAGTTGTAAATCAATTTAACTGTCTCCACATGTGGATTTGCTTCAAGTCTAATGAAATTGGTTTAAAGAAACAATCCTAGTGAAACCACTACCACTTTCTTTTGCAGGCAAAGCCTATATTATATTGATTTATTTGGAACTAGAACTCCTCTGGCACTCATACTGAACAGCCAGCATAGCTCTGCAGCTGCACTGTTGAACATCAACCTGAATTCTTGGTCTTGTTATGGATTTGGATAATATATTTTCTTGCATGGAGCCATGTTTCTCCCTCAGTGAGATTTGTCTCTCCAAATTGGTTGGGATTTCTTTTGTGTTTTAGAGTAACCTGATTAATTTAATCCACACAGAGTCTTTTGGTGGTGCCAGCAGTGGCACAGGCTCCTCACATCAGCAGTCGTGTTCTTTGTCTGGCTTTTCAGTGTGATTTATGAACACAAACAAGGGAAATTTTAAATCCAGTCAGAAAAAACGGCCCTGTGTTGTCTAGCCAGGATGTTCTGGTGGGGTTTCCATTGTATCTAGGAAATTGGTGCTTCCATGAATTTATGGCTGCAGATGACAGAGGTCTTCAGTTTGTTCCTGACAGGATAACATCAGTCCCAGGGTTGTAGCTCCAACCATTTGTACTTCTGAAAATTGTGTGAAGAATAATTCATCTTTCTACATGTGTTTATCCTTTAGTGAACTGATTTTTGGTTTCCTATCCAGAATTCATGTTGTTTCTTCTACGTGTGACTCATTTTCATGAACACCTTCAAAAGGCAGCAAGAAAGGAAAAGTTCAGACTTGCATGTCCCCAGTTCCCAATGTCTTATCTGAACATCACAAATTTACACCCATGATAGACCCACACATGTAAAACCCCAGGTGTCTATGGGTTTGTATAGACTTTTTTCCCCCTAAAATATGCCCGTTATTCTAAAAAGAAAAGCTGTTCTTGCTCCCTGCAGACTTTCCCTGGCTGGCAGCAGCAGACAATTACAGCTACAGCAATGCTGCTGTTAGTGTTGTGCTCATCAGTGTTATGTGTCCTGCACACCAGTCAGAAATCCAGTAAAAATCAGCAGCAGTGTGGCCTTTCACACCCCCTTTGATCTGGAATAATTTATACATCCAACAGCAATTAATTTTGTGCATACTCATTATTTCATAACCACCGCAGGGCAGATTTCTTGGTTCATAATGAATATTTTCTGTGGTATAATGATGTGTTATTTGTCTGTGGTGGGCTCTCCCTTGTTTTCTGTAGGGACTCTAAGGGGAATTTCAGTAAAAACACGGGAAGGGAAGGAGAAAACAGATGCCAGACCCTCAGCTCACACCAGAGATGTACCAAGTCTGCCAGCCAGTGCCCTCTCAGGGCTGTTATTCCCAGCACACTGTTCTCACTATAACACTGCCACAGGCATCCAAATGCTCTGAGATTTTAGGAGGAAAATTTGGAATTTGCTTGGATTTGCTGAGGGTACTTTCCTAAAACCTGCTTGGCTACAGTTATAATTGGTAAAATATAAAAACACTGGAGGAATGTGACCAAGAGAATAATCAGACTGAGCATGTTTCATTACTGAATATGGAGGCTTGTATCCAATTTCTTGTTTGTTGGCATCACTATGGAGATTCAGATCCCTGCAGCCTCTGGAGAGACCCTCCCCTTATTTTGAGCTTTTCCTCCCTGTCTGATTTAGACCCAATTTTCCCCATCCCTTGTTCCTTGTCTTTGGACTGCGTTTTTGGCCAACCAGCTCAGTCTCTCAAATCAAAATATCCCACTGCCCTGCTTTCATCTCCTCTTCCCTATGTTTTTAGTCCCAGATCTTACTCCTTTCCCCTAGCAGGACACAGCCAACTCTCCTTATCCCACGTTTATTGCCACCTCCTCCTTCAGTCTTGTGCCCTCTGGAGTCTCTAAAAATGGCACAATTCTCAGACTACTGGTCCATGAGGCAGTGGCAAATAGTCTAGGAAATAATTTAATTTTCAGATCAAATATGTTTTCAATTCAGATGGTGACCCACAAGGAATTCAGATGGTTGAGAGGCTTTACTGAGCAGAAGCCTTAGGAACTCCTGCTTCAGAATACAATTCCATGGTTAATTTGACAATAAACTTCTTGTGACTTTTAAATATGTAGAAAGATTTTCTTTCAGTCAGCCTCAGATTTATTATCTGTTGGGTTGGCAAAACCTTCTCTGAATTCCTCAACTGTGCACTTTGAGCTCCTCTTTCATCCAAGCCCTCAATTCTATTTCTGTTCCCCCAGCCCGTCTATTTTTGTGTGTGCCCCTCTGCGGGGTCCTGGCTGTCACGTCCCAGCCCTCTCACGCAGTCACCCGCATTCCAGAGCATTGTCTTCCCAAAAAGCTGCTGTGTCTCCCCTGCCCCTGTTTGCAGCTCCTCCTCTCAATTCCTGCTATTGTCTTTAGTCTCTACCTGGCACTTATCCCACCGCTTCCAGGCTCCTTGGCTTTTTCTTTTGCTTTTCAAAGAACTCCCTCTCTTGTTCCTGTCAAACACAGCTCCCTCCTCGGGCAGGTTCTCCCGCAGGATCAGAGCTGAGCCTCCCTCTCTGTTCCAGCCCCAGCTCTTGCCATCCTGCCTGTTCATGCTGCTGCTCTTCACCACCAGAAGCAAAGCATCTCCCTCTATGTAAAAGCACACACTGATTTTTTTTTTTTTTTAAGGGATAAACAAGCTTTATGTCATTCTCTTCGGAGAACTGATATTCTGGACTGTTTGGGAAAACTTTTAAATTACTTTTTTCCCCCCTACAAAATCATAAAGACAAATGGAAAGCACCTTTTGTTTGGCATGTTCCCAAGTGCTGCATGCTACCCAAGATCTCAGCTACAACTGTGCAATCAGGCAGTTTTAAAGCTTGTCAAACTGCAGACAACACAGGGCCAGACAGTACAGCACAGACAAAAGGCATTAGAGGAGTGGTACAGCTGTAAAACAAGAGGAGATGTGGCTAATGGGGAAAGGGCAGGGGGGGAAATGGAGGCTGGAATTCCTTCTCCGTGGTTCTTAAACAATTGTATCCAGCTGCATCCTCCGAGTGTGTTTGAATTTCTCTCATTACTCTCTGGGGTGGAAAGCTGCTCCTTCTGGTCTGTTCTCTTGGAACAGCCAAACACCCCTTTTTTTTTTCTATTCTGGGCTCTCTCTTTTCTGTGAAATCATCCACTCCAGGCAGGATGATCCCTGCAGCTGTGGAAGTCCAAAGTCACGGTGACCCGATGGGAGACATTCCAGCGAATAAACAAAGCCAGTGGGGTTTCTCGGCACACCTTTGTCTCCTCAGGACCAGTTTGGTTCCTGGGGCTCTCTCTGCTCCTTCAGCTGCCTGACTGCTGGACAGACCCAGGCAACTCTCACCACTGCCCTGCTTTGTTTATTGTGGCACTCTGGGGCATTAGGGAAAGGCTTTTTCCAGCTCCAACTCCACTGAGTGGCTGATAAAGCTGATATTTATATTTTCGGTCTGTGAGCCATAAAAAAAGTCTCTTATTACAACACATGCTCTGCCCCCCTTTCAAGGGATGACCTGCTTTCATAAAGAGCTTCAGGCTGGTGCTCATTAGCAAAATGTTGTAGGGCATCCTGGGACCTGTGGCTGTCCACTGGTATCTGAGCTAGTTTCTTAATTTTAATTATTGCTACAGTAGGAAAGGGAGCAATTCAGAGCCCTGTTTAGCACTGGGAAAGGGAGAACACATTTGCCACTTTGCCTCTAATAATTTGGATTTCTTTGAACGATAGACAGGGTGCTAACCAGAACTGCACAGGAGACCTCTATAAATGTTATTAATTTATTTTTAGTAAGTTAGGAGGGTGTTTGCAGAGAGGCAACAGAAAATATAGAGATGTTTATGTAGAATATTCACTTTTGTACTTTTCTGCAGCAGCTCAGGGACAGATGACACTCCCTGTTCTCCTCACTGGGGGAACTCAGGGTTTAAATAAGGCTTCTCTAGCTAGTTAAGATTTCTTGGCAGTTTATTACATTGGTCCTTAATTGCATTCATTTCCCTGTGGAGATTCCTTTGAGAGGGACTCTCCATTGCAGGACTGCTGGAAGATTTCCAACAATTCGCATTTTTCCCGATTAATTTCAGCCTCCAATATTGACTCCTTTAGGGACTGAAGTGATAATAAGGCTGGATTTCTGGTTTGCAGAGCTGTGTATCTGTACCACGGGGTATCAGCCCGTGTATACTATTCATTTAAGCCCCATTGCAATGTCTGCTGTGTAGATAAGCTCTCAGAGTTTTTGCTTCAGCAGCAAATGGACAGGAATAATGTGATGATGGCTTAATGCCTCTGAAGATAATGAAAGTGTCAGAGATTCTTTGGCTCACGATGTGAGAAGCTGGTGAGAGCACAAGATCTGAGTGCTGGAAT